ACTGGAATATCCATTTCTACTCTAGCAGGCAAATAGGCTAAAATCCGCCATGACCTAAGTAAAGTCCTCCTAATTTCAGTTTTAGTAGATGGCAGTGGGGTGGGGAGAGCAGCTTGCCTGCCTCTGCTCCATGGCCCTGCACTCTAAAGTGAAGTCTGCCAGTCAGCATGCCCCACCCACAAGCAGAGTGCACAGTGGCTCTGCCAGACAGGCTGAGGCTGGAATGGCAAGCAGAACCTCACAACTGCAGAGTAAGTCACACAAGCCACCTAATACACCACATCTTTTGTGATTATGATCAGACACCAAATGTTAACAGATATTTAGAGAAAAACAGCACAGGACAGAAGCCTTCAAAATAAAACAGAGAATCTCTGTTGAAGAAGATAATTCAGGGGATGAAAAAAATTGACAACAAAAAGCTCTAACAAGAATCTCCAAAGATAGTTAGAAGATATCTCATCCATAAAACAAAAATACACACCACAGGAACGAAGCAATCAGAGCACAGAAGTAAGTTCAGAAGAATAAAAAGTGTGGCCAAAATACAGAGTTAATTGTAGATGGACTGAACTACAAAATGAACACAAATGATTATTTTGGATGAGTGAGATGAAAACAAAATGATTATTTGGAATTTGAATATGGTGAAATATTTAAAAATGTACAATAACAAGAAAAAATGGATTTAAATAAAAGAACAAGTTAAAGGCACAAAAGAGCAGTATAATACTACTAAAATCCAATCGAAAGTTGTTCTTGGAGAGATTAAAAAATACAAAATAAAGTTATCAGAAAAGATAATAGATATGTAGATAAATAGATGGATAGATGGAAGAAGGAAGGGAGGAAGGAAAGAAGAAAGGGTAAAAATGTAATTATCAACAAATAATTCTCAATCTGGGAAAACTCCACTTAAAAAATGGGAAATAAATTATTTTTAGATAGACGAAAATGAGGTTTTTTTCACTAACAGATCTATGCTATAAGAAATAGTAAAGAGTGTCTTTCAGGCTGAAATAAAAAGACACTAAGGAGAAATTCAAATTTATTTGATAAAGTAAAAACAATTACAAAAGGTAACTATATAGGTAAATATAAGAGACAATATAAATATATTTTTGTTTGTACCTATTTTCTTTTCCTAAATTATTTAAAGATGACTTCAAAAAGAAATAATTATAAATCTATGTTAATGGGCATATAATATATAAGGATGTGATATGTGACAGTAACAGCATAAACAAACGAAGGGAAACTAAACTATATAGAAGCAAAGTCTGTATACTATTGAAAGGAAGTTGGTACTAATTTAAACTAAATTGTTGTAAATTAAGATATAATTGTAATTCCCAGGGAAACCACAAAGAAAATAACTCAAAAATAGACAGTAAAAGAAAGAACAAGGGAATTAAAATGGTACACATGAAAAATAACAAAAATGAAAACAGTAACCCAAAAACAGAACAAGGTAGACATAAGATGACATAAGATATATAGAAAACAGATTGCGAATAACAGATACAAATTCTATCTTATTGTTAATTACATTAAGAGCAAATGGAGGCTGTAGGTGTCCCATTAAGTCCTGCTATTTCAGAAATAACTTACATAGCCCTTAGGAACTCTTACTTCAGGCTTTAAAAGGCAATGAACAAATAACTTTAGGAGACTGGTAACAATGTCACCTAAATTTGAAATACTAAAAAGAGATTAGTGTTCTCAACGATGTGAAATCTATTTCTCTTATTTTCTCAAATATAATCCGAGGAATCTTGCTTATAAACAAAGCAATTCTGGGCCAGGAATACTTCCTCTAATATAGCAGTGCTTCCCATCATACTGTGCTGCAGTTTCCATCATTTTTAAAGGACAGACACACAAATGATAAATAATGGTGTAAAAATATTACAATCTACCACCTCAAAAAAAATTGTTTATGGAGTTCAGAGCTTGGAGATTCAAGTATTGATTGCAGTTTTATTTTGAAAAGAATGCTACAATTTATGTGGTTTTTATTTCTCATGTTTATATTAAAAGAAAAGCTAATAAACTCTATTTTAATTAAAAAAAAAGAGCAAATGGGTTAATCTCCTCAGTTAAAAGGCAGAGATTGACAGGATGGATTCAGCATCAAAACATGATTCATCTAAATGCTGTTTAAAGAAAAGCACTTTCGATTCAAAGATAGAAATAGTTGGAAAGGCAAAGGAAAGGAGAAGTTATACCATGCAAATGGTAACCAAAGAGAAAAGAAGAGATCTGGGGTGACTATATTAACACCAAACAAAAAAGACTTTAGGGCAAACATTGTTATTATAGACAACTAAAGACATTGTATAGTAATAACATCAATTCATCAAAAAGATAACACAATTATAAACATATAATCACCTAAGAGCAGAGTCCCAAACTATATAAAACAAAAACTGATGCTATTGAAGTGAGCTATAGACAATTCAACAATAATAATTGGAGACATCAATAACCTGCTTTTAATAAAAGATAAAACAACTAGACACAATATCAGCAAGAAAATGGAAGAGTAGAACAACATTAAGGCAAAGAAAGAAAAAAAGAAACAAACGAAAGGCTAGACCTAACAGGTATATTTAGAACTTAAACCCAAGAATAGCAGAATGCACATTCTTCTCAAACGCACATGAACCGTCAAATGTTGGGCCATAAAACAAGTCTCAATAAGCTTAAAGTAATTAAAAGAAAAGAAAGTATTTATTTGACCTCAGTGGAATGAAACTAGAAATCAGTAAAATAAGAAAATGTGGGGAAATCACAAAGATGTGGAGATTAAACAATACTGCTATATAAGTAATGGGTTAAAGAAAAAAGTCACAAAGGAAATCAGAAAATACTTTGAGATGAATTAAAACAAAAGCACAACATATCAAAACTTAGATTCAAAAAACTAACACTCAGAGGAAAATTCATAGAATTTTATTTATGCTTCCATGAAAAAGAATACCTCAAATCAATAACCTACTTTTCTGCCTTAAGAAACTAGAAAAAAGAAAAAACATAAAGAGAAATAAATAATAAGGATTACAATGGAAGTAAACAAAATAGAGAATATAAAACAATAGAGAAAATCAACAAAATCAAAAGTTGGTTCTTTGAAAAAATTGACCAAGTTGACAAACTGTTAGCTACACATTAATCAGAAAAAAAAAAAAAAAAAGAGAACACTCAAATTTAGTAAATCAGGAATGAAAGATGAGATTTTACTACTGACCTTAAAGAAAAAATGAAAAACATTATAAGGGAGTAGTAAAAACAACCGTAATGCTAATGAATGAGATAACCTAAGTGAAGTAGATAAATTCTAGAAAGACATAACCTTCCAAAATGAAGTCAAGAAGAAACAGAACATCTGAATAGACCTCCAACAAGTAGAGATTAAATTAATAATAAATTTTCCAAAGAAAAGTCCAGGACTAGATGGCTTTCCTGGTGTATTCCAACAAATATTTAATGAAGAATTAACAAATCATTTACAAGCTTTCTGAAAAAAAAATCAAATAAGAAGCACTTCTCAATTCATTTAATAAAGGCACTTACTATCCAGATAATAAAACCAAAGACAACTATAGGGGGAAAAAAAAAAAAAAAAAAAAGCTATAAGCCAAATTAAGAACAATTGTGCCTCAGAAGTCACCATCAGAAAAATTGAAAAGAAAACCCACATATTAGAAGAATGTATCTACAAGTCAAATAATCTGATCAAAGTCTAGCATCTAGAATATATACATAACTTTTACAACATAGCAATAAAAAGACAAATAATATAACTAATTTAAATATGGGCCAAAGTTTTGAATAAACATTTTTTCAAAGCAGATATTTAAACAGCCAGCAAGTACATAAAAAATTCTCAACATTATTAGTCATTATGTAAATGCAAATCAGAAACACAATAACATACCACATCACACCTATTAGGATAGGGTGGCTACTATAAAAATAAACAAAAATATTTTCCTATCTTAAAAAATATTGTTTATAGAAAGTATTAGTGAAGTTGTGTAGAACTGGGTGCTCACAAGGATTAATCTAAGTACAAATCAATACAATAAATATTTTAGGGCACAATTTGGCAGTATATTTCAAAATATGCTGATTTCAATGCAGGAATTCCATTTCTAAGTATCTGCCCTAGAAAAAACTGTGCCCATGTACACAAACTAAAATGTAGAAGGAGGCTCACTGTAGCTATGCTTATTATAGCAAAATGCTGGAACTCACCCAAATGTCCATTTGCAGACAGATGGTTAGATAAATCAGTCTACAATGATTCTAGTACGTAGCCCCACGCCCCCTTTCCTGGATATCAAAAAAGCAAGGTAATTTTAGGGAAGAAACTAATTTTCAAAACAATACTCATAGTATGATACCATTAACAGAAAGCAAAATAAAACAAACCACCTTCTATATACCCAAGTGTTAATTCTGGCTACTTCTGAGGAGGCTAGGTTAGGAAGGGGCAAAGTAACTTCCATTTTTGAATTTACATATCACGTTATTGCTTGAATTTTTATAAGAATAATAATTATATGCTGTATGTAAAATGTTGATTTTAAAAGCATACCTATTTTTATACAAGACTGTTAAATCTAACTGTAAATTGCCGGGCGCGGTGGCTCGAGCCTGTAATCCCAGCACTTTGGGAGGCCGAGGCGGGTGGATCACAAGGTCAAGAGATCGAGACCATCCTGGTCAACATGGTGAAACCCCGTCTCTACTAAAAATACAAAAAATTAGCTGGGCATGGCGGTGCGTGCCTGTAATCCCAGCTACTCAGGAGGCTGAGGCAGGAGAATTGCCTGAACCCAGGAGGTGAAGGTTGCGGTGAGCTGAGATCGTGCCATTGCACTCCAGCCTGGGTAACAAGAGCGAAACTCCTCCTCAAAAAAAAAAAAAAAAAAAAAAAATCTAACTGTAAATCTCAATTTTAATTCATAACATAACAGAAGAAACATTCTTACCTTCCAAGTTTTCTATTTTTTCAATGTTGTTTAAAGCTAAATTCAAGTATTCAAGTTTCTTGAGTTTGCTAACATTCTCTGAAATATAAGATAATGTAATTAATTATAAGATAATCTTCAAAATAAGGACACTTTTATGTAATCTATTGTTAAAATAATAAAGAAAATCTAAAGATTATTATGGTTACCAAAACCATGTTGCTTTTTAAAATCTATACCTGTACATCAGACATGGTGGCTGTCTGAGGAGGACCTATTTCTCCCTCCATCCTTCCTAATGAAACCCAGTTTTGCTCACATCCCTACCTAGCCCTAACTCTAGGTGGGGTAGGTTTAACACAACTGTGCCAGCGCATGACAATCCAATCTCTCTGGCTAGTGATGGCTCAGGAAGGCAGATTTAAGCCAAACAGCCCATGGCAGTCTCTTGGCAACTGTGTAGTACAGGAGAGGACATGCAAACCAAGTGCTCCTAACCAGATAAAAGGGAAGGATCTATATTCCATGCTTTGGGGGAGGGGGGGTCTTACCTCTTTTTCCTGTGGGATATTAATAAGGAATTACTATCTCTATTGATTCATATACTCAATCATAAGAGAAACAACAGCAGGACAAATCTGGATAGCTGGTAGAGCAGACAGAAGGAATCAACCAACCCTGATGGATTCTGGAGTCTGCCCTACCTCTAGACTTAGAGATGGGTAAGATAATTGATTTACTTACTGTTCTACCACATTCAGTTGGGTTTCTTTGACTTGGAAGCCAAAATCGACCTGACACAGGATTATCTTATTTAATAAATATGAAAGCCCATACAGGCAAAACCACAAGCATAAACAAGTCACAGAATTGCTGCAGAATGGGGCCTTTGAAAAACAGTGAATAATATCAAACATTGCTGAGTGCTTATTATATGTCACACAATGTTCTAAGCATTTTGCCTGTATTATCTTATTTAATCCTCATAATAACCCTATGAGGTCAAAATGATCATCCCCTTTTTACAAATCAGAATACCAAGGTACAGATAATTAATTTACTTGTCCAAGGTTAAGTGGTAGAGCCAGGAAATTGCACTCCAGAACCTGAAACTAAATCACTATAGTACACCTTAAAAGGGCAGTTCTTTCTAAGATGAGAGGAATGTAGAAACCTCTGCTAAGGACTGTGCACTGGGGGCAGCCTCACTTAATTAGTGCCTCCTCTGCCCATTTCTCAGGGATATGATGAAGCTGAAAAACATGGTGATTTATAATCATCACCCTTATCACCACTAAAAGTTAATCTAAAATTTACAAAACATCATATATTTGTTTCCATGGACGTGAACATAACAGTTCATGTCTCTGAGTTTCAATTTATGCATTGTTTAAAAGGAGAATTTTGGGGGAAAAATTACAGAAGTTTGTCTCAGAATTTAAATTATTCTTAAGTAATCCTAATGTTTGCAAAGGATCTCTAGAAACATCTGAGCATTCAATTGTCAACAGATTTGGAGGTTTCTATGTGCCAAGAACTATGAGAGTCTAGTCTATATCCTCAACAAAAATATTATTATTAAAATGGCCAGCCCACAATAAAATACCTGTTTGAAACAGGACTTCCCTTTATTATATATATCACCCTCTAACTGCTAAAGGAGTCATATGATAGAAAAGTAAGACTTGCTCAGGGAGGGTTTCCTAAATTAACTCCTCAAAAACAACAGGGCCCAACTTGGAAAGAGGGAAGCGGGTGAAGCTCTCAGTAAGACAAAAGAGAAGAGCCTCTTGGGTAGTGGAAAGGAGTCTGAGTTCTAGCCAAACCATTCTACAAACAGTTTTCATCAACTAAGCAGACCCACGAACTTGGAGTAGACCCTCTCCCTTCTCAGGTTTAAGAAGCTCTGTGGCTCTCAACTTGGCCTAGGCATGTAGCCCATTGTGAAGCTGTTGAAAGGGTTGGTTCCAGGAGCCCACAGGTTCTGATTCAGTAGGTCTGGGGCAGGGCACTGGACAAGACCCCACCTGGCCCCTGGGCTCCCTCTTGGGTTACCTCTAAGCAGAGCCTTCCTCAGCAGACCATCTGTGTCTTCCCATGGGCAACAGAGCTTTAGGAAAGGCAATTGCTTCGCAAATTTCCACCTCAATGGCACAAGAGCAAGTCTGAATCCTAGAGGAGTAGTTTTACTTGCTAAATAAGTGCCTAAATGCCTATGGGTGGAGTAGCACTGAAAAATCCCATTATTGGGATTTAAAAGGATGTTTAATTTAAGAATACTTTGGAAGCAAAAATTTAAGCTTTCTCACAGCTCTGAAAAGGACTGAAATACCATGCTCCTAATTAGTAATTGTGATGGACCCAGCTGTGAAGATTAAAATTTTGGGAACTCTTTTAGATCTGTACAATTAGAACCGTTCTTTCATGCCCCCATGCATAAAAGCTGGTGGTTTTCTGTAATAGCCTTTTTAATTTAACAATGTGCCAGAGTTTCTAATTTCTGGTCAAGTTAAAGATGCCAAAAATAATTAACTGAAAAAATACAGAGAATTTTAGTAAATCTTCAAAAAATGATGCAAATCTAGGCTTTCTGCAAGTCTGAAGCCAATTTTCAATTATCCACGAAACTACAGGCAACCACATCACCAGCATTTCTCAACTTCAGCAATACTAACATTTTGGGTTGGACCATTCTTTCTTGGGGGTGGGGGTGGCATCTTGTGCACTGTAGGACTGTCTGCAGTATTCCTGGCCTCTATACCCTAGATGCCAATAGCATCCCCTCCCCATCCTCCCATACACATGCGACAACCAAAAATATCTCTGATGCGACAACCAAATGCCCCCTGATGTGAACCCCAGCACATTACCATGGGAAGTAAAATAAAATCCTATAAGTTGACCTCTGAGTTCTCGTGCCAGGGCACACAGGGGTTGGCACTCTCTCTGCCTCATCAATCCTGACTCCATCTTTTTTCCTCCAACTCCATTGGCTTCTCCCTTCTGCTCCTACCTTCAACTGGCTAGCCTGGGGCACCCTGGGGTAAATGATCGAATTGATAATAGTAGCAGCACAGCAGGTATCCTCTATGGAATACTTATGATTTAACAAGTACCAAGCATGTCATTTCATGTAATCTGTATGCCAATTTAGACATCAGACATTTATTATTAGCCATTTTACAGATGGCAAAACTAAGACTTGGGCAAAGTAACTGACTTTTAAAATTTCACAGTGCAAATAGGTAGGTGGCAAAGGCAGCCTTCTGACACAGTTCTACCTGACGCCAGAGCCTGTGCTTTCTCTTTCTGGGTGCTGGGGATTTTCCTTCAGTTTCCATGTGGCAGGACCTCCATTAGAGCAACTGCACAGGCCTCCCTTCCCTCTTCCCTTTAATTCACCATTCTGTGGGAGAAGTCAGGTGTAGTGGGGGAAGGAAGACCAACGTATCTGATAGGTTCATCCGGAGAAGAAACTCAGCACACCCAGTTCCACCCTCTTTCCTGATTTCTGGAATCTTCCTGCCAGCAGAGAGCACATGATCTCAACCTACCTCCTGACATAAAGCAAAGACCCACCTGGGTAGGAGAAACTTGTGGTTGTCCGATTCTGCATGTAACTGGGTGGGTAGGTTTATTCTAAGGGCAATATTAGCAAGCCCACTTGGCTGCAAGTCTAAGTCGCTCTTCTTTATCAGTTTTAATGCTGCTATTTTTATCTTCATTGACGTGATTCCTGCATTTACCTCTAATTTTCATTCCAAATTGGAACCCCCTCAATACCCAACACAGAGCACAATGCCTTGCACATATATGGTCACAATAAATATACAATAAATCTGCAGTAACCTGACAAGGACTCCCTCAATTCTTATATAAATTAGTTTTACAGTGTGATGTAAAACCATGACAAATACCTCCTCCCTTTCAAACTTAAAAAATATCAGGTCTGATGTGTTCTCTGTCTTTTTAGATGATCAGGTCAAGTAATGTGTTCTTCACCTTTATCTGCTCTCCCAGCTCCTTGCTGGAAATTGTTTTCACTACATACAGAAATGTTCAGGGAAATGCCCCCCATACAACTACTGAAAGACGGCTGTGTCCATTTTCCCAAGCAATTCTTTTCCAGTGATTGTCTTCTTCTGAAAATAACACTACCCTTTCCAAAGTTCTCTCATTCACAATGTTAAAGAAACCATGAGAGCTAAGTACTGAAACTTACCAATTTTTCCAATAAGATTATTTTGAAGATAGAGAATTTTTAAATCCCGGCACCATTTATCAATGTGTTCTAGTCTTTCTATTTCTTGCTGATGCAAGGAGAGTTCCTCCAAGGAAAAAATGACACAGTCATTGTGTTCAGCATTCCGTCTAATAAGATCTTCTGTGACTGGAAGAAAACGTGTTACATATTACATTAATGTCCCCATTGTTCAATATAAGATTATTGTGCTATTAATGCATTTGGGCTTTTTTTTTTTTTTAGTTAAATGTCAATTCTCCAGGCCTAAGTAATTTTCAAAGTGAAAGAGAAAATGCTACCTTCTCCTGGAGTTTTTGTGATGCCATGATGTGAGTCAGAGGGAAGAAGAAAACATGCTGATATCGTATTTATCTTTGAACGTGTAGGGTCTACATATATTTTGCTGTGTGGATGTCTTTGAATGTGTAGGGTCTACATATATTTTGCTGTATGGATGTCTTTGAATGTGTAAGATCTACATATATTTTGCTGTATGGATGAAGATGGGGTTGAGAGTTAATGGCTATAAGAATGTTCATATGGAATCTTACAGTGGAACCATGTCAAAATGGATGAGATCCACTAACTAATCTGAGACAGAGCAACTTGCTACTGAGAGGCACAGTGGGGCTGGCAGAGGGCAGAAATATGAAAGCATCTTCCACCATTCAAAGAAGAAAGGTCATGAGTCATTCATTTAACCAGTATTTATTAATTTAACTACACTTAAAACAAAGAAAATGAACACCTCAGATCTTGTACTGCAGTCTTACCAAGCAGCCGCCACTTGTTTGTTTCCTAGGAGAATGTTTTTTAAAGCTGCTCACGGGAGAAGGCATAATGGGAGCTCTGACAAGAGTGATGTGTAGCACTGGGCTTGCCTGCCACAGAAGGTCAGCAGTATGTGATGAAAATGGCGCAAGGAGACTGGACATAGTGCTGTCTATGGTCCACAGTCGGGGCCAACCACAAGACCATGAATCATCTTCATAAAGATGTACCGAAACCAAAGAGCTAAAGACAAGGAGGAATCACGCATTTCCCACTGCCACTGAAAATGTTACTGGTTGAACCCTCACATCTTAAGTAGGATGTGGAAATATTGTCTGTCTACACCAGGAGATAATAATTGTCACTTACAAGGTGCCAGGTACTATTCTAAATGCCTTGCATCTATAATATATGACTATCTGGAGTTATTATTTCCAACTGTCAGATGAGGAAGTAAAGCACAGAGAGTTTAAATAGCTTACCTGGGGTCTTGGTGGTAAGTGCTAGAGCTATGTTTTAAATTCACAGTGCAGTGCCAGACCATTGCTCTTAACCACTACGCTCCCCAGCCGCAAGCATGAGCAAGTAACAGCCTCTTGAGATTCCAGGTTTCCTGAAGATACAGACTGCTCTAGCAGAGACAGAGTTCTTTTCCGCAACTTCTGCTACCACACCTCTATGTCACATCTTTAAAAGTGGAGTTTGCCTTTTTACTAAATGTAAAAACATGTACGAATTTGATCCTTCACGTGCAGTTGGCTAAACTCTGCTGGGAGGAGATAGAAGTGCTTGCAATGACAGTTCTTTAGAAGAAGGACCAGACGTAATGTAGAGGTTGAGAGACTAAAATACTATACATGGGAAAAGTCCTTGCTACTCTAAGCTTTGGCTCAACTAACAGGCAGAGATTATCACAAACCAGATCCTGGTGAGGGACAGACCAAAGCGCCCAGGAAGGAGAGTAACAGGACACCATCACCAGACTGACTCACTGGGACCCCTGCTGCCAGCCCCATTCAGCTGTCCCTGGAATTCCACTGCTGGTTTTGGGGAGCTCTATTCAAGGAAAAGAGAAAAACCAAACCTGTAAGAGAAGAGCATTAAAACTACTCTCCATCCTCCTTTCCAAAGTTGGTTCTAACAGTTTAAATTCAACTGATAATGAATAAATGGGTAAAGCCAGAGGATAGAGCAATGCTCCTATGTAAAGCAAAATGTCTGATCTGTATCTATAATTTATAAGAATTCTCTTAGCAGGGATGCAACATGGGTCAAAAGGTTTAGATGGCACAACACTTATCTGTACATTTAATAAAATGTGGAAATTATTCACTACTAGTAATAACACCCTCAATGACTAATGGTGTATCTGTAAACTATACAAATCCATAGAGCAAGGGGATGGATTGTTGGAGGCCTTGCTACTATTAGAATTTGAGTCCTTGGGGCCAGAAGGATGTGCCCATCAATGGCCCATGTCTTCCTGTCTAGACCATGGCCCATGGAGGGAACAATGGGATTCTCTGTCCAAGGGGCTCCAAGCCCTACTCCAAACCCTTCAATGGCAGCTTCTTCAGGTTCATTCTTGAAGACAGATCATGTCATCAGGTACACAAGCCAGTGCCTAGGGGTGTCCAAGGATCAGCTGTTTGTCAGGGATGTGGACAGCATGGATATGTAGGCTGGAGTGTCCATGCTCATACATGGGCATGAGGGGCCAGGATAGAGCCACAGATGGGAAGAAAAGGGAAGACAGAGCCAGAGGACAAGCTTTCCCCAAGCCACCATGCTCTGTCACAGAACTCCAGTATATGAAATGCAGCCTTCCAGGTTGTTGTGAAAGTATACTTCCCAAGGGAGGAAGACATATTTGATTTAGCAGTTTGATTTATAACTTGATACATGGGCCTTTACTTAAACTCTTGCCCCAGATTCTGGTTGAAGGCTTAGTTTTATATCCATATTGAAGATGTAACTTAACTTGAACTCCAAAGGAGCTGTCATTTATGCTTAAGTCAAATGTGTTCAGGGGACTTCTGAGAGCATGTTCACATCACCTGGTCTCTGGCTTACATTGCCATGTGGGATTTTCTAACCCTCAAGGCTGCTCAAGGCATCACAGGCACCTCCAGTCTACCTTCTAAAAGGCTTATCCAAACTGTCCACTCTTAAAAGATTTACAGGGTTGACAAAGTTTCTCCTGGCACCAAATATCCTTGTAGTATTCTTTTGCTACACCTCTGAACATTTAAGAAATGCCCTTTTTTTCCTTTGAGACAGGGTCTTACTCTGTCACCCAGGCTGGAATGCAGTGGCATGATTATGGTTCACTGCAGCCCAGGCTCAAGGGATCCTTCCACCTCAGCCTCCTGAGTAGCTGGAACTATATGCATGTGCCACCACACCCAGGTAATTTTTGCTTTTTTTTTTTTATTGTAAAGATAGGGTTTCACCGTGCTGCCCAGGTTGGTCTCAAACTCCTGGACACAAGCAATCCACCCACCTTGGCTTCCCCAAGTACTGGGATTACACGTGTAACCCAGTGTGACCAGCCAAGAAACTATCTTCATCATGCTGTTATGTGTGTAAAATTTATCACTTCATGCAATTGTCCAATCTTCTTTTTCAAAGGCACATAGATATTAAGAAAGAATTATGTTGATTCATATCCTCTAACCATGAGAATTAAGATGAGAAAAATCCCTATTAGTTTAAAGAGGTAGAGTTCAGGGAACTTCCCTTAGCATTAGCAACTAATCTACACACACACACACACACACACACACACACACACACACACACATACACACACACAAAGGAAAGAAGGGACACAACAGAGAAGGTTGCCCGGATAGCAATGATTATATACAATTAGGATACACTAAAAGAAAATGGAGAATTGCAGAGAAGGATAGAACTGTAAAGATCTGGAATTTCCCAGCAGACCTTTTCTATTAATAATGGCTATTACTATAAAAGTCATAAAATAATAGATGTTGGCAAAGATGCAGAGAAAAGGGAACACTTGTATACTGTTGATGAGAATGTAAATTAGTTCAACCCCTATGGAAAACAGAATAGAGATTTCTCAAAGAATTAAAAATAGAATGAACATTCAACCCAGCAATCTCACTACTGGGTATTTTCCCAAATGAAAATAAACCACTCAATCAATCAAAAAGACGCCTATATTCCTGTGCTATTGCAGCACTATTCATAATATCAAAGTCATGTGTTCAACCCAAGTTCCCATCAACAGCAGACTGGATAGAGAAAATCTGGCATAGGTACACCATGGAATACTATGCAGCCATAAAAAGAATAAAATCATGTCCTTTGCATCAACATGGATATAGCTGGAGGCCATTATCATAAGTGAATTTGTGCACAGATAATCAAATACTGCATGTTCTCACTTATAAGCTGGAGCTAAACAGTGGGTACACAAGGACATAAAATGAAAACTATAGACACTGGGGACTCCAAAATGGGGGAAGGAGGGGAGGCGAGGGTTGAAAAACAACCTACTGGGTACTGTGTTCACTATTTAGGTGAGGGGTGTACTTGAAGATCAGACCCCAGCATCATCCAATATAACCAAGTAACAAATCTGCACATATACCCTCTGAATATAAGATTAAAAAGAAAAATAATATATAGTTTCAAATAGCTAGAAGGAAGATATTGAATGTTTCCAACACAAAGAAATGATAAATGTTTTAGATAATGGATATGATAATTACCCTGGTCTGATTACTCTACAGCGTATATACTGAAACATCACTATGTATGCCATAAATATGTACAATTATGTGGCAAGTTAAAACAAAATTAAATTATAAGTAAAAAAAAAAAAAAAAAGATACAAACTCTGCCCTTAAGGAGTTTTCACTCCAGAATTAATGAGAGGCAGTGACAACAGTGTGTGATGAATGGTGAGCTTGAGAGAAGAGCTGGATACCATGAAACATGTAGGAGGAGGACCCAACCCAGGTGCGGCTTCAGAAGGAGGGGATGTTGATAGAGATACAGAGCACAAATGAGAATTAACCAGAAAAAAGAAGAGAATGGAGCAGAAGAAACAGCATAGCACAAAGGCCAGGACGCGAGTGTATCTTCATTCACTTTGCAGCAAGAATACAGTGAATATACCTTCAGTAATGGTGTTGTAGACACAACGGCAGACAGTTCTTGCTTTCATGGAGGCTGCCTGGTAGTAGAGGCAGAAAAGAAGCACAATGTACATACCACTGGGTGACATGTGGATGGTCTGGGATACCCAGAGCTTCTAATCTAGACTTGGAAGTATATGGAAAGCTTCCTGTCTTCAGCTGAGACACTGAGGATGAGTAAGATTATTCAAGAGAACAGGGCAG